TGATCATTTATTTGCTCTACAAATACATGTGAACACCAAAAGATTTACTATGCCCCTGACCAAAGATGTATAAAGGATAGTAAGCAATTTTTCCTTTTGAACAGCTGAGGCCTGACTCAAATCAGAAGTGTCTGACTACTGATCTAAACACTGTATTTGTGCACATGGTTCACTTCTCTTTTCTTTCTTTCTGTATTATGCTGCATTTAAAATAGTAACGGGAAGAGGGTGGCCATATATGCCTCATGGATCCTGGTTTGCTACCACTAACTATGTAAACACTTTTAAGTAAGAAAGTCCAAGTCTCAGATAAAGACATGAATATATTTATAGAGTAATGGGAAGAAAAACTATAAAAGTAAATTATGAATTTGGGATCTGAATTTTCTTCTAATGTCCAGACTTACAATTAAGTCTTCACTCTAGGAAAAAAATAAGGCCCCCGATCTGGAAACACCAAGCTTTCCTGACAATCATATATGTTTTACCGATGCCTAAGCTCATATCTGAACATCTGAAGTGGAAAGTGTCAAAAGATACAGAGGATGGCAGATCTGAGGGGATCAAGTAATTAACTTCTCCTGTATGTCCAAAGCAAGTAGCTGACTGTTCTTTATCTTAATTCAGCCTAACATCAACAAAACACCTAAATTTCAACATAGAAACACAACAGATAAAAATTTAAGTCAGAAATGTTTGAGATTTTGTTTCTAGTGAACATCACTGATATTCTTAAAGCTTCCCAGGAGCCAATGTGGGCGGAGATGGTAGTTACTGCTTCAACACAAAACATACAAAAATAAGTTTAATACTGAAAGTGTTTCCAAACCAAGGAGAGTACATGAAGAGAGGAATTAATTACACAAGAAGCTAAAATTGTATAGTAGATGGTGAATATCTAATCAAAACATTAAACACAAATCACTAATCTCCCTATGAACATGATTTCTGAGCTTTGATTCTAGAGGTTGGGGTCAATTAATACAGAATGAGCTTCTCATACATTAGCATAAATGTACATAAACATCTGACTTGCCTGAATAATACATTCATAGATGTTTAGTTAATAGGTCTTCGAGTGGAGCTTGTTCTAACCAGTTTCTAGGTGATACAGATGCTAGACTAGAAATATGGGTAGACAGGCAGGCATAGAAATGGGTTCTTGGAGATATGTATGGAGCATTGTGTGAGCAACAAGCAGGGACTGGACCTTTCTGTTTGATTGTTGGGAAAGGCTTCATATGGGAGGTTGAAGTCAGTCTTGTACCCCTAGTAACCACAAGAGGACAGCAAAGAGGCCTCCACTGACTGCAGTTCACTGACTCCAAACTTTCTGACCTTTAGTCTTTCTCATCTGTAAAATACAAAATTGAGGACTCTTCTCAGCCCTAAACCTAAGACTAATGAAAAATAAGGATGGCATGTAGCTCATTGGTAGAGCACTTGCCTAACATATGCAAGGTCTTGGGCTCCATCCCCAACACTTACAACTAGTTGTAGATCACTATTTACAAGTTAAAGAAAACAGTAGGAAAGAGTCTATTTATCAGCATAACAAACCAAACTACATTTTACAATTGAAATTGCAACATGATGTAAGAGGACAACACTTAAGTCTTAACTGCCACTTAGACTTTTTTTCCCTACTCAACTGCCTAGTTGTGGTGAGGTGTATGGGCCCTTATCACTAAACTATTTTAAAAAGCATCACATCCACTTTGTTCAGCACAATGACACTTATCATTTATAATTACTCTTCACTTTCAATGAACACAGCAGACATCAATTGATTAGTTGTCACACAATTGAAGTTATTATTTCATTAGTCTAATTACAAGTGGACCAGATTAAACTGAAGCAGTAAAGGCAGGTGACAGGAGGACCAGAGCCAGGCAAGCTTTATTTGTTAGATCATAAACAAAATATCACCACAGATATGATCTAACAAATAAAGCTTGGCTGAAGATCAGAGTGTAAAGCTAGCCGCACTAGCTTGCCATTGAGGCCAGGCAGTAGTGGTGCACACCTTTAAGCACTCAGGAGAGAGAGCAGACAGTTAGTTCAAGGCCACCCTGGGCTACACAAAATTGATCCAGTCTAAAAGAGAAATAGCTCACACAAAGTTGATCCCATTTCTTGGAGGAACACACCTTTAACCCCAGCACCAAGGTAGAGACAGAAAAGGATATGGCTGGGCAAAGAGAGGAATATAAGGCAGCAGGAGACAGGAATTCATTGCAGTCTGAAAGCAGTTAGTCTGAGGTAGTCAGTCTGAAGCAGTCTGAGGATGCAGTCTATGGATACAGTCTGAGGACAGGATCACCCCTTTAGTCTGAAGTAGAGGTAAGAACTAGTGGCTGGCTGTTTTGCTTCTCTGATCTTTCAGCTTTCCATGTAATATCTGACTTTGGGGTTTTATTATTAAGACCAAAGAGAATTCATGTTACACATATCTACAGCCCCCCCAAATCATCCCAGGCCTGCCACCACAGCTCCCTTTCAACTGTTAGGGGTAGAGTTTCATAATCCCTACCTTTATCCATGTTGGAGTGTTGACTTGCTTGATCTTATACAAGTTTCCAGCAGGCAATTACAGATGGTTGGTTGGCTTGATCTTGTGCAAATGCTGGACAGGCAACTACAATTGCTGAGTTTAGGAGTGTAAGGGCTCTGTTATGTTCAGAAGTAGTTATGTTCATAGTAGTCCTCCCTGACCTCTGGTTCTTACAGTCTCTCTGCCCCTCTTCCTCGATGTTCCCTAAGCTTTGTGGGAGGGAAGTATGATACAGATATCCCAAACATGGACCTTCACAAGTTTTTATTATTGTGTGAGGGTACACATGTCATGGCACAGGTATGAAGGTTAGAGGACAACTATGTATAATTTATTCTTTAATTCTACCTTTATATGGGTTCAAACACCGGTTGCCAGTCTTGTACAGCAAACCCCTTTATCTGCTGAGCGTAACACATGGACCTTTGAGGGAGACTTCAGATTGAAGCTGTAATACATGACTATTGTTCACACAAAGGCTGAATTTTTCAATGTTATACTTAAAAAAAAAAACTGTTTTAAGGATCATGTGCTGTTTTGAAGTAGTACAGTATTTATGGACACAACACAGAAATCAAGATTGTAGGAAACCAAATCCCAACCTCCTGCATCTATTTTTCAAACAAACTCATTCTTTGGGAATTTCATGTGACACATTTTAAACATATTTACCCTTTTTCGTTCAGCTCCTTCCATAATTACCCTCACTACCCTCCCATTCCTTCTCATACAATTTTGAGATTTTTTTTTTCTCCCTTCAATCCAGTCTGTGTGGCTAGCTAGTCTTGGGAGTGTGGCCTGTCACAGCCCATGGTCAACCTACCAGGGGATCATATCATTAAAGAAACCTGATTCTGTCTCGGCAGCTAGAGGTAGGAATTTGTGCCTACCCTCCCCCTTCTGTGCTGTGATCTTTTGCCTGCCTGAAGCTTGCACAAATCTTGTGCATGGTGTCACAATCTTTGTAAGTTCATATGTGCAACTACCCATTTCTATCCAGAAAATAGTTCCCTTGGTATTATTTACCACCTCTGGATCTTTCCAACTCCTCTTTTAAGAAGATCCCTGAGCTTTGGAGGGAGGTGTGATGCAAATGTCCCATTTAGAGCAGAGCACTCTGTACAGTCTGCTACTCTGCATATTAACTAGTTGAGGGTCTCCATGTTAACTGCTATCTACAGTAAAGGAAATGCTTTTAAAAGAGAAAATGTTTTCTAGAATGGGTTTTTAAAAATATTTGTTTATTATGTATACAGTGTTCTGTCTGCATGTATCCTTGCAGGCCAGGAGAGGACATCAGATATCATTACAGATGGTTGTGAGCCACCATATGGTTGCTGGGAATTGAACTCAGGACCTCTGGAAGAGCAGTCAGTGTTCTTAACCTCTGAGCCAACTCTCCAGCTCTAGAATGGGTTTTGAGGGCACCCTGATTTCTAGAGCTTGGTAAACCAAAGTATAGAATGAGCATTTCAAATTTTAATGTGCATCAAAGCATTTTCCCTTTTATATAGAAATTTAAATATATATATTTTATGAGAAAAACAAAGTTTAGACATCAAGAATTATCCAACAGGAATTAATTTTATTGTTGTGTTGTCATTTTCTGCTTGTTCCCAATGCTCCAAATGTTCTTATTGTGCTTGTAGAACCTTTATAAGTAGAAATAAACATAATGTTATATTTTAAAAACTAACTAAATTGTATTTTCAGTATTTGTTTTATGATCTAGGAAAGGAATATAAAGACTGGTAAATTTGACAATAATAATGTCATCTACTTTTATAAACCTGAAAGAAAGTTTATCACAATTCTTTATTTTGGAGACAGGCTCTCACTATGTAGCCCAGGCTGGTCTGGAACTCAATATATAACCTACAGTGTCTTTGAATTCCCATGTGCTGGTATTACAACTGTATAAGCTACACCCAGCTTTTTTTAAAAAAATATAGAAGAGAAAGATGCCTAGTCTTAGCAAATATTCAGTCATAACAAAATGTGACTTATTTTAGCAAGGAAAACATTATGCTAGAAATTCCTTATATTAAAATGTTTCTTTTTCATTCCATCAGAGTACCTTGTGTATATTATATACACATGCACATATATACATCAAACACATACACACTCACTCAGCATTCAGTTCATTTTTTCATTAGTATGAGACATAGATTAGACCCCTTTATTTTGTTTTTAAAATTAACAAAACACCCAAAAGCAAAAATAAAAATTGCATCAACTTTTGGTATATGTATGAATATAGAAGTACTCTTCAAAAAGTTACTGTTAAACCATTTTAATTTTAATATTAAAAAGCACATTTTATAAACACTAGATAAATTTACATATAAAAGCTACACATAAATATACAGAGACAAAAGTAAAAGAGCACTATTAGCAACAGAAGTAAACTAATAAGATATTTAAACAAATGATAATAATAATCATTTTTCATTGCTATTTATTTTTCATGAATTTAAAAGCTACTCAGAAATGAAATGTAGTTAGTATATCATGATTACTACCAAAGTTTAGAATTATAGAAACAACTGACATAGAACTACTTATTTTAAAAACCTTTCAAATATTCAATAGTCAACTGACAGTTATTAATCAATAAATAGCCAACATCAGTAAAAGTTTTTATCTAACTGAAGAGACAATTTTAGGCTTTGGTTAACAGGCTAAATTTGGTGGTAAAATCTTAATGTCCCTTTACATTATATTCCTGAGTTTTTTGAACAATGCTACAAATAAGATAAAAAATAAACTCAATGTATAGGTTTGTATAACATTGCATTTTAGTTATGGAAAAAACAAGTATTGCGATTTTGAGATTACTTTAAATGTGAATAGTGACATTTAATAATCAAGACAGAAAAGAATGCATTTAATTTAGCTTAACTCAGGAAAACATTAATGCCTCTGACCACAATTTGCAAAGATCATTTGTAAAATATGATAGAAATTCTATTATACCTGCCAGCAGTTTTTATTTTCAACTCATGAGATCATACTGATTTTGTAAAACATGATGCTTTTATAAAAGAAATGCTCAAATGATGACAGCACAAGGCTAGGCACAGTGTAGATATTCTTAATTTAAAATAACAAAGTATTATTTCTACACATTAACAATTCAACATGGTAGTTATAAGTTGACTTGAAAATATCCAAAAGCATTTTAAATATGAAAATACACTTTTAGTAACAACCATGAAAGGAAGTTATAAGTGGCCATTTTCAGTCTGTTTTATAAAAATAGTTTCAAGTTCCTTTAAATGGACCTAAGAAAGCTGTTCCTGTTTGTCCCTGCTAAATGTGATAAGACCAACCTATCAACACTTTCAAAACTATTAGTTTAGATAACAATACAGCCTAAAGCAGTTTCCCTTGAAAACTGTGCATTTGAAGACTGGGTCCACCAATGTGTATGTCTGAACAATTCCCATTCCTCCTGGAAAATTACTATGACCCAATGGGTTTGAGAAATAATGATTTCAGGTAGCCAAAACTGTTACCATCCTTAAACTTTACATGAGTTAAAAATGTATGGATATTTTGAAAAACCTGCCTAGCCTACAGTCAGACCTTACCCAAAAGTCACAGGTTTTGCTCTAGATCTCTTCATAGTCACAAGAGCTATCAGACAGTAATCTGGTGAGTAGAGTTCTGTAGTTTTATGTTGCATATACTTTTTCTTACTAGGAAACAGAAGGGTCATCTGGCAGTTGTATTTTAAAAACAGTCATACTACTCATGAAGTTGTTAGTTCTTCAAACAGCAATGTCAGCATCAGTCACAAGTATTACTGAGTATCTTAGTTTTTTCTTTCTTTGGAAATACAGTCTCACTATGTTGTCAAGGCTGGTCTTGAACTCCTGAGCTCTAGAGATTCCTCCACTTTAGCATTCCAGGTAGCCTGGGACTACAGATGGCACTCAGCTTTCAAATTCCCATTTCTTTAAAAAATTCCAGTTTACAAAATAGGATGTAAACTCCATGTGCAAAATTTCATTAGTCATATAATTCAAGAAAAGGAAATGATTATTTAAATTGTTATGCATTTTTAAAATTGCATAGGTTTAATTAATTATCAAATTCCTCTAAATTAAAGGAGAAAATCAGTAACAAAATATACTATCAAATGAATACCATAGAGCACTAAGGAAAGTTGGAAAGTTTAAATTATCAGAGATTTGGAAAAACTGTTTTAGAGATAGGGTTTCTCTGTGTAATGGCTCTGGTTTTTCTGGAACTAGCGCTGTAGACCAGGCTGACCTCAAACTCAGAGATCCACCTGTCTCTGTTTTCCCAGTGGTGGGATTAAGAGGCCACCACCACTACCACTAGGGTAAGAACTTTTAATTACTATTAAAATCGTGAAACGGTAGCTACTTCTGTTTCCTAATAGAAGCATTATATGAAAAGAAATAAAACTGAAAGCTTATTGAAGGGGGTTAAATAGTTTATAAGATGATTAAAACTACTTAATGTAGATGAACTATTTTAGACTTTCAAGTAAATGATATGATACTCAGAGTTATTTAAAAATAGCTTTGGGAGCACATTCCCCATGGAGGGATACTCCCTTAACCTAGAGGCAGGAGGGAAGGCCTAGTCCCTACTCTAAATGACTTGACAGATTTAGATAATCCCTCCTGGAAGGCATCACTCTCCCTGTAGAGTGGTGGTGGGGTAATGGGATGGGAGGGGGGGCAAGAGAGGGAGGGAGAAAAGGAGGGAGGGAGAAGGAATGGGGATAGATATGTAAAATAAGAAAAAACCCAAAAATAATAAAAAAAAGCCTTTAACAATTTTAGCATTAGTAAAAATTACTAATGACCTGGCATATATATATATATATATGTATATATGTATATATGTATATGTATATTATCAAATTCTATATAAAGGTTGGGAAGGGCTTAATACCACAATCCGCTTCAAATCCCCATCTGTATCTCAGCAAAGTTATAAAAGCTGTCAACATCTCCAGATGCTGTCTCCTTCTTTTCAGATACAAACATCTATGTAAAATACAAAATAAACAAAAAATTAGTTTTATAGCCTTTAAATATCAAAGGCCACATCTTTACAGAACAGTCATAACCTCGGGTTTTTATTTTTTTAATTTTGTAGATTTTTTAAAATGTGTATCAATGGCTTGCTGGCATGTATAAATATGTACTATGCACATGCCTGGTTTCCCCAGAGGTCAGAAGAGAGTGTTAGACCTCTGGAGCTGGAGTTACAGATTGTTGTGAGCCTATACGTTAAGGAATTTGGTAGAGATACAAGTACTATTTGGTTCTAAGGGAAAGGAGATAAAATGGAAAGTAAGACTGAGATAAGGTCAGTAAAATCTTATACCTTTGTCCCGTTGAATATCTCATTTACAATAAGGTGACATCCTTCTACAGCACCCTCTCCATTAAATTCCAAGGCAATCACAGGACCTAAAAGAAACCCCCAAAAGTGTTTTCTTAGCATGAATATAAATATATTATAAAACCAATCCTTACATTTCTTTGGTTTTAGATTTTTGACAGTCTCACTATGAAGCCCTAGGTGGCCTAGAATGCAATATGTAGACCAGAATGCCCCTGAACTTTTCTCCATCCTTCTGCCTTTGCCACTTGAGTACTGGGATTACAGATATGCACTATACTCAGCATTCATTTTTATTCATTCTTTCCTGAGAAATTTCCAGTATCTTCATCAGGTGGGAAAGAAGGAGGTAGGTAGAAGGGCAAATTATTTCAGCTCCCCCTCATTCCTATCATAAAACAATGAATCTCATCTTATGATAAGCAGCTCCAGTATTATATTATAGGGCTAGTGACACATTTTTAAAAATTATGTGTGTGGGTATGAGCATGTGGGGGTACAGGTCACTGGATACGCTGTAGCTGGAGTTATAGACAGCTGTTTCTGAGCTGCCAGATTTGGGTGCTGGTACCTGAATTCCAGTTCTTCGCGAGAGCAGCAAGAATTCTTAGCTGCTAAGCTATGTCTCCAACCCCTTTACTGTCTGTCACATTTTCAACTGTTGAAAATTGTCTGGTTTCTCTGGTTTTTCTTCTTCTTTTTTTAAAACAAAACCAAACAAGACAAACCAAAGAATCCCCACTCATTTAGCAGTAAAAACACTAGTAGGCAAAATACCAAACAATATAAAAATAATCCAAGTCAACGTAGTCTTACTAGGCAGCCTGCTTTCATTTCAGCTCCCCTACTTTCTAACCAAATTCTAGCCCACTAACTATGGAAATAAACCAAAAGGGAGTTGAGGCCAAATGCCAAAGTAATAACGCTTTTAAAGAAAGAAGTGTGTCTTAAAGCTGCAGTCTAAAAGCACAGATCAAACTTTTATTTTTAGTCATCTGAATAGAAACATTTGTGCCTCCTTTCCCATCCATTAATTTGAATTCCTTTAAAACCCCTGTGACTCTCTCTGCTTCTTTGCTCTCTCTTTGCTCTCTCTCTGTTCTCTCTCTCTCCTGCTTTCGGTTGGCCACCAGCTACCCCCTCTTTCTCTCCCTTCTCTCAATAAACTCCACGTGGGCGCTGAGTCTCGTGTTTGTGTTTCTTAGGCATTAGCTGCAGCAAAAGAACAGCATTGGCCCTCCTCGAGTACTTGGCAGCCGCCTATTGTTGGATGGCCAGCCTGAGGTATTTGGGGACCCTGATTACGAACCACCTCCATTCACCTGTTTCGCTGGAAAATACCATCCCACACCGGCTACAATTCGGTAAGGTACACTTTTCCATTATTACTTGTTTCCTTAGGGTCTGGTGCATTTCCCACTGGCGAGTTAAGATTCCGGCTTGAAGCTTTCCTGCCTTCGGACTGCTGAGTCCTTATTGAGCACTTTGCCCTTGGCCACATGCTTGGGCTGATGAGTTCCAAAGATGATTGGCCTGTTTTTACTTCACCCGTGGGAAATAAACTAGCCTATATATCCCCTAGAAAATAATTCAAATTGGCCGCGTAACGGCTCTTTAGATCCTGGTATTTTACTGGATCTTTCAAATTACTGCCAGCGAACAGGTAGATGGAAGGAGTTTTTTCTACCTCTCTGCTAAACAATCTCTTTCCCTAAACTTGTTTCTGTTCTCTTCTCGCCACGCTGAAACTCTCCTGCCTGCTGCAGCTGCAGCCTGTCTCAGGGCAGTGGGCTGGGCTGAGGCAGCATTTGATCAAGTTTTTCATTCTTTCCCACGAATGAGGTTTTCGGATTTTGTGCCCTAGCACCACTCATGTTGACTGGTGCATTCGTTTCTCAGACCCACGAGGGGTCTCTAGGGTTTTATACCCTTAGACTGGTACATACATTGCTCAGGCCTACGGTGGTCTTTTTGGATGTAGTACCCCTTGGACTCTTAGTTTCACAAATCCTTCTGCTTCACTCGTGGAGAGAAAAAAGCCAACAAAATTGTATCTCAAAACTTTATGATTTTTGCCAGCTGTTGGAGATATGTTTATGGCAGCCACTGTCTTGACCACGTGGCCTAGCCTCACCCCTCATGATTCTTCCCTCTGCTACACCAGCCACCTAGGCAGAGGGAGTCTAGCCAGCTTCTGCCACCAGCAGAACCTGTAATTCATTTACCTTTTGCTTTTATTCTTTTACTTGCTTTATTCTTTATTCTTTGTCTCTAATTTCTTTTTCACCATGTCATACATAGCTTCACATTCTAGTCTTCTCAATTTTGCCCAGTCCTGTTTAATATATCTGTACATTTAATTTAAATTTATGTAAATGTAAGCTAACTTCATACAACTTAAATTCAACTGTACTAAGTCTCAAATACTTCTAAATTGTTATGTGGCTTTTTAATGGTGGTAAACATTTAATGTTATAAATATCTATGTCAAGCTAACAAAATATTTATGCCACCCAGTCTTTCCTGTAAGCTGTTTATAAAGGTTAAACCTCTATTATCAAAGGGAGTTTTTCTCTACCTCTTTGTCCTTTACAGGTATAAGTCTAACCTACTAAGTTAAAACCAGTTACAGTCAGGCTGCATGGCTCTGAGTAAAACATCCCTCCACAGCCTCTCAGCTTGGATCCAGTTTTCCAGACAGATTAATTAATTACAGGGATAAAGCCTTACCTAGCCACCTGCGTGCTTAAGGCAAGTAACTAAAGACATATTTTTGTATACTAAGGTATGCTAGACAGTCAGACAGTCCTCAAATGCTCAGAGATCTAGAGAATATGGCATTTAAAAATGTTTCACTAAAGAGCTTTTATAACAGAGAGTAAGGCCAGCTGCTGGCACCACCCATTTCCTCCAAGAAGACTGATGGACACTGAAGAAGCTCCACCCACAAATGTGGCAATGCTAGCCACTGAGAAATCCTGCCTTTTATCTCAACTGCTGCAAAAGGGCTCTAAGGACCGTGGACAAGAGGGCAGTGGAATCGACTTTCTCCACGTTGCTTGGGCCAACTGTAGGTAAGTCTTCCAAAAGCTCGTAATCCACAGGTCAGCAGAAGGCAGACTTCTGTGGGTGATAAGAAGAGGGTATCACAGGGCAGTGGTGGCTCACACCTTTAAGCCCAACACTTTGCAGGCAGATGCAGGTGGATCTTTGAGTTCCAGACCAGCCTGGTCTACAAGAGCTAGTTCCAAGATAGCCTCCAAAGTCACAGAGAACCCTGTCTCAAAAAAAAAAAAACTAAAACAAATGAGTCTATCAAATTAGTGATATGACCATACAAAAACTTTATTCTATACAACAGAAGGCAATGTTTGTATATCCTCAATGGTATATGGCCTAAGTAGAAAAATATAGAAAGGCCTTACAACTTCATTAATCTTACAGTGGTAGTAAAAGTTGCTGTTATTACAAAACCACCATTATGTTAAAACAATATTGTAAGCAACCAAAACGTTCAGGAGAAAAGTATTATAAAAGAAAAATTAACTAAGTCTTATACTGGCTAAGCCTTTAGTTCATGTGTTAAAAAGCTTAGTACCCAGCCCAAAGAACTATTGGAAGGTAGCAGAAACTTCAAGACATCTCTTCATGTGGGAGATTTTATGTTTTTGGGGACCATGGGGTCTTATGTCTTCCTCCTTTTGTTTCAGGTACAGGGTGAATGGGCTTCTTCTAGACATGTGTTCCCATCACAGTGTACTGTGCCACTGAAAGCCCAAAGGAACAAGGCTGGTCAGTCATAGACTGAAACCTCCCAAAGTTGCAAGGCAAAATAAAACTTTTTTTTAACTAAGCTGATTATTTCAGTTATTTTTTATAGCAATGGCAAACTTATGAACACATTTGGCAACTGTGAAAACAAGGTGGCAGATATAGGGCTTACTATCTAACCTTTTTTTGTTTTTATTTTTTGAAAGATTCCCACTACTTAATTAGCACTGGCTGGCCTGAACTTGGTATGTAGACCAGGCTGGCATCAAACTAATAAAGATTCACCTGCCTTTTCCTCTAACTTCCAAGTGCTGGGATTAAAGGCAGGTACCATCATACCAGACTCTTTTGTCTTACATTTTTTTAACCTTGAGACAGGATTTTTCTTTGTAACATCTCTGGCTGTCATGGAACTTGTTTTCTAGACCAGGCTGGCCTTGAACTCACAGAGGCCCACCTGCTTCTGCCCCCCAAGTACTGAGATTAAAGGCATGAGCCACCATTGTCCAGCACTTCTGTCTACTTTTTGTATGTAAGAATTTCCCCATTAAAATAAAAGATGTGAGAGGTGTAGTTAGCCCATGACTATAATCTTATTGGGAGTTTAGGGCCAGTCTCAGCTACATAGTGAATTTGAGGTCAGTGTGTTTTCATAGAGTACAGACTGCCTAGCAACAGCCTCCTGAATGCTGGGATTACAAATGTGCACCATCATACCAAGCCAAAATATCTTGTTGAGAAAAAAAGCATTGAAAATTTTCAAGGCCAATACAGTGCATCAAAAGGATACATACAAAAGACAGCCTGAAGGGGTTACCTAAATATGAGACATGGTAAAATCAGTAAAACACACTGAATATATAAAAAATACTTGAATTAACCAGATCTTTCATCTGCAGCATTAAGATCTGCAATTGATGTATTAAAGGCAGGTTCTCTAATTTGTCATTCTCATCTCTTAAGTTAAAGCTTAGGCTAAATATTAGTAATATCTTCGCTTACAGTCACATTTTCTTGGGAAGGATTTTGATTTTGTGAAACATTTGTGAATTAGGAAATAGATGCTATTATTTTATAGATAAATGATTTGTATGTTGATAGTTACAAATAAAGCTGGTTTTAAACCTCAAAAAAGAAATCCTTGAATTCATAATGGTATTTAGACAAAAAGCAAACAAAACACACTAGACACTCCTGGGGTTGCTAGGGTGCCAATTCATTACTCTGAAAACTGATGCTTATTTTTCCTCTTTATTATGCTTTTCTGATGTGAGACATATTTCAAGTCAAACAGTGC